CAGGGATACTTGATGGTTGGGCACTGCAGGGATACTTGGTGGTTGGGCAATGCAGGGATACTTTGCGGTTGGGCACTGCAGGGAGACTTGGTGGTTGGGCACTGCAGGGATACTTGGTGGTTGGTCACCAAAGTCAGCTTCCAGTCGGGCGAGGACAACATCTACTTTAAAATCTAACAACCGCACAGCGAGGCTGGGGAATAAAAACTGCAATTTACTTCCTCTCATTTTTGTTTAAATCCGACCATTACTCAACCAGGATTTCCAACAATCGGCTCTGGACCCCAAACCCTGCTACATGAGCACTGATTAGAGCCACGTTTTTGGCACGTAGCCATAGGGGCTGCCGCTCATACCTTCGAAGAAGACACGGCCCCCCGAACCTCAACTTCTAGATGGAATAGAGACATCTTTTCAACCTCCCTGACACCATACACGGGTATTTGTCCAACATAGGTTCCCTCAAATGATGAAGAGTTATAGCGTGATGAAGTAAAACATGGTCAGTCTCAGGGCACAAATCTCATCCAGTCTAAAAACCGACTAACCCCCGGTGTTTTGGTGGAGCTTGTCCCCTTTAGCGCATCAAGAAAACAAAATCCGGCGAATACAGCCAAATGAGTGACGCTTTTTTTGGTGGTTGAACCTAGTAAGATTATATTCCTTATATAAAATACTATACCCCAAAAGGAGCATATAATCTTACTCTATAATGGGTACCATAGTATCCCCCCAAAAAATACTACTCAAAGAACCCCTATATAATCCCAGTGTCCATTTCATTTTCCATTTTCTTTTCCATTTGATTCTCCCTTATAGGGCCCTAAACCCTATATTATTGGGTACCATAGTATCCCCCAAAAAATCACCCTAAACCCTAAACCCACAACCCTAAACCCTAAATCCTAAACTCTAAACCTCAAATGCCAATGGCTGCTGCAAGGCTTCAGGGCGCTCCAAGGGCCTACACGCGTGTTCCAGGCCCTTCGGTTCAAGGTCCGCACCTGCCCTACACTGGGTTGCTGTTAAGGAACTTAAATCAAGTTACCATAATGGGTATATTTAGTAAATAATATGGTTTCCTCAATATAGTATCTTAATTTAAGTTCCTTAACAGCAAGCCAGAAGATCGACTAACTCTGAACCCTAAATCCTATATATCCCAATATATTCCTATAGGCCTCCTAGATAATCCTCACAGGCACCCTCATACTCCTCCTTTCAAAGAGCATCCCACGCTCAAGCCTGAGAGCTGCTAGTCGGAAGCTGTCCTCTTCGGGCCATTGGACAAGCTCGCTGCAGGCAACCTGATTCTGATTTCAAAACTTATAAGCTAAGATATTTCATACATCCTCACAACTAATCCTAGGTAGCGAGGCCCCAAGGAAGAGCCAATGATTTTGATACACTTTGTATTTAAGGTTTAGGGTCGACAGGACGCGTAAAAACACCGGCTCCCAGTCTTCTGACACACAGTCCTGGCGGCAAAGCTTGCTGGACCAACCAATGCACCAAACCCCAGAGGCACGTTCAGGCAGAGATTTCTTGAATGTGTAGATACGCAAAGATGAAGCTAGGGTGGAAGGGTGTGCTCGGGCCTAGGTTATGAAAAATAGCGGAAAACAGTCTAGGACACTCACCACTGAGTACCTGAATGGCAAAGGCGTCGTAGGATTGCGTTGTGGTCCAGGACAAAAGGTTTTAGGCTGAGGCGCTTAGCGATGTTTAGGGTAAATACCACACCCTAAGTCTGAAACTGCAATCCCAGCCATTCAATCCAACACGACACATGTTTTTTTCCGAAGCCCTGGGTCCTACACCCCTAAGCCCTATACCTTAGACCTTATGAACACTAGACACCAAGCCTTATACCCAAAACATCCCCAAAAACAACTTTAGCCCCTGAAACGTACATCCGTAGCCGCGTGGCCTCTCCACTGAGGAGATTGTGCAGCAACTGCATGTTGTCCGGCCGCTTTAACGTGGTAGCGAGGAAGCCTAAGTTTCCTCAGGGCAAAATCCCCATAAGAAAGCTACTATAGCCCACAGTTTAGTGGATGTGGAGATTGCGCATTTCACTTTTACAGGCTCAGGGTTTGGGATTGAGAGTTTGGAGCCGCATTGTGTGTCTCTAGCCATGTTCGCTTCGCCCTGAAACCTGTGTAGTGCTCTAGGACTCATGGGGCACCCTCACATGGCCGCAGATCTGTAAAATTCCAGTTGCGCTCCTTGGCTTCTTTTCTCTTGGCATGGAAATTTGTACCTTGAGGTGAACTTTCAAAGGCGCAACTTTTTTGGGGGATTTTTGGGGACGTTCCATGCGAACGAGGAGGAAATTAGGTTTGACTTTGAAGCTGTAAACAAGCTTGGCCACTGAAGGGTCGCAACACACTACAAAATTCTCTGCAAAGCGTGACCCCCCTACATATCACACAACATTCCTGCCAACAAATCAGCAAACCTCTCCTTCCTACAACAACACCACGCGCGCCGCACGTAGACTTAAGAGCAGCCGCCAACACCTTGCAACATCCCAAGCTTCCGGAGCTCAAGCTACCTCCAACACGCCCCTCCCCGCAACTAGCTCAAAATCGTCAATTTTAACCCCTGAGCCCTAAGCTCTGAACTCTTACCCCTAACTCGAGTTTCCAACCCTGAATCCTGACCCCTAAGCCCGAACAAGCCAGCAAACCGCTGATTGCAGCAGCGTGTCGCACCTTCTGGCGGTAGCTGCGCGCGGCCGTCTCGAGGCTGGATGAGATGGCCCATGCAGCAGCCTGAGGAAAAGTGCTTTTGTGAGGCCTACGGCTTCCTAAGGCATATATGTCTAAAACTCCCAAACCATAAGCCCACCTTGTTAAGGCTTGACGCTCCAGAGTAAGTTCGTGGCTGAGGGGATTAGTTAGGTGCCAAGTTTGGCGTTTGTGGGGCTCTATGAGTTGGGGCTAGGGGGGTCAAACAGGGAACCTACTATGGTATACGAGGGTTATACTAGGGTTATATTGGAGTTATATGGGAATAATGGAAAATAACATGGAACCTACTACAGTATATTAGGGTTATACTAGTTCGGAAGGGGGAGCGGAGGGTTTTACGAAACGCCTGATCTTGAACCTTTCCATCGAGGTCTGCACTAGCAGTTCGAACCACACACGTCAGATAATTCGACTTGCCGCTATCCTGACTGGTTGAAACCAGGGCACGAAGGAATGGAGATGAGAACAGAAATCAGTACATCGTGGAAGGGATCATACCGGACAATATAGGGCCTATTATGGAGAAGCATTCTTGCATTCCCGATTATAAGCCCTGTAATTCGCCAAGCCCCATAATCCTAAACCCATACCTGAAAGTAAGCCTTGAAATCCAGAACCCACCTTTTTCACCTAGAAAGCTCTGCGCTACCTCAAGCCTCCTGAACTTTACAAGCCCTGACCATCATCAAAGGATCTGTAAGCGCCCCTTCAACGGAACCCCAAGTACAACCCCCAATGGTCCGCAATTGGTGTGGCCCCTAATGGGTTGCTAGGACGGGGGCTCCTCTGGGGCAACCCTAGGACGATACTTTTAGGGTTCAGGGTTCACCAAAAGCTGGCGCGCCTCAATTTCCTGGGCGCAGCGCCCTGCTGTCACCTCTGCCCACGCGACCTGGTCATCTCTTTCCCTTATACGTGGGAGGGGGCCTAAAGGGACTGGTAAGGGTTCAGCGTCAAGGGCTTGTATAGTTGTATAAGGGTATACTGGCACTAGAAAGGACATGTGAGGGCCCGAATCAACGAGTTATCAAGCAATACTCACATTTTGGAAATCTTTCCCTTGGAGGGTAAACTATCCTCCATTCCTTGCAAAGCAACAAGCCCTACACCCTAAATCTTCTTGGCGAAGAGGTGGCGCCCGAAGTCACGTGACCACACTTATAAAAGTTCGGAAGTAAAAGTTGAAGGCCCTACCACTATGCTTATCCATTGCAGATCAACAAATCACTTATAACGCAATCTACACTCGAGCCCCAGTCTCTGTACCTCCTTAACTCATCCCTTCCGTTCTATGGTAGTTTCCCCTCTCTGAATGTAGACCCCGAAAGATTATACACCGAATTAGTCGGACCTCCCCGCAAGAAAAAGGTCACCCGAATCCATACGCCCTAAAACCCTGCTTTTCATACCCCCGATTATAACCGACGTTCCCTCCGGCACTCTCCAGCCAAAACCTGTTAACCCTAGGCTGCCCTTTCATTGGCCTTAATCAGCCCTTGTTCTCCGTAAGTAACTCTAGCCAAAGGGGAACCTACAGGGGGTTAGGGTGGGTGGGGATTGGCAGGGGGTAACCACAATAGCGTCAGCTACCTCCAGAGAGATGGGTGGAGCATGAAGCGCATCGACTAAGCACCTGGCGCGCAACAATGGCATTCAGGGCTAACTATTTGTTAGCAGGCTCCCTCGTACAACAAGATAGGAAGTCAATCAAGAACCATCCAGGAGGGTCGCTTAGCTTTCTGATGTTTCTTCTAAGTCTCAAAGCGAATGATGATCAACATGACTGTTGGAGGTGGCACTGGTTTGTGACCAGGGGAGTGTTCGGCGTGTCAGGGTTTTGCGGGGATATGCAGATTGAGCACTCGGCCCTTGTAAGATTGATTGCCTGGTGCTCACTCTCATGGGGATCTGCTATGCAGGTGGGATATCATTCACACAGGTCTTCCTAATCTATAATGAGGAAAGTTTCGAGTATTGCACCACCTACCCTTACACAAAGATGGAACCCCCACAGAAATGTCTTTTGACAGGTAAAAAATTACTACTTTGACCTTCGTGGTGCCAGTTTGGGGCGGGCCAGGGAGACTTAGCAAATGGATTAATAATGGGGATAACTCGGGTTCCTATATACATCATAGGGGGCCAAGCTACGTATGACGTCTACTACTGCTACTACTAGTACTTCTTCTTATACTACTATTCGTCACTACTGCCACCAGACCCATTACTTCACATCCTACTAGAAATCCTCTGGGACCCCCCCCCCCCGTCGCCCCCAAACAAGTTTGTCGAACTTTGATTGGGCCACCCCGTAATATTCATAATCCTGTACTTGTTTGGGGGATGGCGGGGGAGGGGGCTTCATAATCAGAACCCACCATAATTGTTTGCTGGGGACGTATACACTGGACACCTCTGTCGAAGTAGGAATACCCACACCTACAACTCTTTCTACCTTGCCATGCCAATGTCCTTTGAAATGCCCAGACCCCTGGGAGGATCTAGAAAGTAGAACCCCCAATTTGGCACCCTATACTACTATAGGGTAATTCCTAGGAACCCTTAAGGGGGTTCTACTTTCTAGATCTTCCCAGGGGTCTGGGTACGCGTCTAAAGCCAGAGCACAAAACACGGCAATCAACTTCGAGCCTAAGGTGGTTGAATCCCCATGATATTTAGGGTTTAGGGTTTAGGGTTAGGGTACAGGGGTTCTATTGGGATAATGGAAAATAAAATGGAAACTACAAGGATTATAGGAGTTATAGGGACCATATAGGGTAGTATATTGGGTTACATAGGGATAATGGAAAATAAAATGGAAACTGCTATTAGTATATTGGGTTAGATAGGGATAATGGAAAATAAAATGGAAACTACTAAATAGTATATTGGGTTACATAGGGATAATGGAAAATAAAATGGAAACTGCTATGAGTATATTGGGTTAGATAGGGATAA